GGGGTCTATTTTTAAACACAGAAGCTGCTTCTGTCAAAAAATGGACAGTCTGTCACTGTTTATATACCATGTTAAGTCATGAGATAGGGAGATACAGTAATATTATTGCTTTTGTATCTTATATGTTTCATCTGCAGACCAAAGGGATGTGAGAGAGGTACAATCATCGGCAGATCAAACAGATGAGATTCAATCTGCATGTTAAAGTGACAGTAAACTCCGGAGCTAAATCCTAAAAAATCCATTCAAGTCCCTGAACTAGTAACAACAATGCATCTTATTTGTGAATCACTCGGCTGTAGATCCTCCAATCATCTCTGAATTGGTGCCGACACCGTCCTTCCTTCTGGAGGGGGGCGACTTTTGTTCCCCATGGTCCCTGTCTGTGTTGTAAAGTAGCCAACTCTCCAAGCTCGCTTCCGGGATGGACTACAATCTACCAATTTGTATTGAGATTGTAGTCCATCTCGGGGGGGAGCTTGGACCTGTGACTACTGTACAACACACACAGGGACCATGGGGAACAAAAGTAGCCCCCCTCTAGAAGGAAGGACAGCGTCGGCACCAATTCAGAGATGATTGGAGGATCTACAGCCGAGTGATACACAAATAAGATGCATTGTTGTTCATAGTTCCGGGACTTGAATGGATTTTTAAGATTTAACTGCTGAGTTTAGTGTCACTTTAATTGCAAAGTGATCACTGAAAACCCACTGAATAGCAGTCATGTAAAAACATGTTTCTGGTCCACATGGGGTGTACCGGGTGTCAGAGCTGAACGGGTTAATATGCTGCACAGGATATTAAAAAGAAACAAACTTTTCTCTTGATCTCTTTTGTTCTTTTTATTTCAGTTCCCGACCTCCTTCCTCCTCCCTCACTTTAAAGTAGTGAATCAATGAGAAAAGTTCAAAGAGAGTCTGGCACGGTACCGCAGCCATTAGGCTCCTTCTCGCTCGCTTTGAACTGTTCCTTTTTGGTGAAAATTAAGTTTAAAAAAAAAAGTTGCTCGCATTCCATCGATTACTATTGTGTGGAAACATTTCAAGTCACCCGAGTTCTGAATTCCTCAGACTCTCTCTTCGTCTTGTAGGGACTGGGAGATCTCTGTAAATAACAATCAGCTCCGCAGACAAGCGGCAATACGCGTTTCACGGTGAAAGTGCATTTGTTTCAAAGCCAGAACGATTTTGGGGCGCGCTGAGAATATTAAATGTTGCACCGGATTGATTGAACTACTTCGCCATTTAAGTGACTTGGTCTATGGGCTGAGAAAGGGTCGGGAGAACCCCAAAACACTCCCTCCTTCACAAAAAAAACTACTTTAGTCTTCATATTAATCTTATTAATGATCATTTGTTGTAAAGTTTCTCCTCTCAGGATTCAGCCGCAGGTCAGACCGGCTCCGTCTTATGTCAGTGGGTAGCCTACGGCTGCAGAGGGATAGAAGAGCCTTACCGGCTATTACCGGACAATGCAATTACCGGCCAGGCGGCCGCGGCTATAGGGGACGAGCGTATTACAAAGAGTCCAATTACTGCCTGTAAATCAGATTTGACATCCAGTCAGAGGTTTGTCAGCTCATTACTGATCAGAATCCAGCGGAGCCCCAGACAGCAATACTGACTGTTCTCGGAACATTGGACAACGTACATTAGCTGCAATTTCATTACATATAAAGCCGATTGAATGTGATCTAAAGTCAGATATCACATCCAGTTTTGCAGAAGATTCGGACTGGGGGAATGATAAAATGCTTAAAGTGACATTAAGGGCTAACGTCCGTCCCCCACAGTGCTAAAGTAAGGACTTACCTTAAATGATGCCTCATAATCCAATCTTCTTCCTTACTGTCCTTTTCAGTTGTCCCTCCTGCGCTGGTGGGGGTCTCCGATCCAGCGCTGACTCCTTCTCTCATGTCCCACGGTCTCTGTGCGGGTGCACGCTGCTCCATAGACTTACCTTGCGTCTCTCCTCGTCTCCCGGCCGAACATATGAACTGCGCATGCGCCCGCCCCAAGATCCCTGATGTTCGGACGGGAGCGTGCGGCGGAGACACAGGTATTAACCCTTTGAAAAAGATCGTTTTGCATATATCTAATGCTTGCTAGCCATAGACAGATATATGCAAAAACATGCAAGGGTTTAATAACCCTTTAAATCTGACCTTCGGCCTCCCCTTTATATACAAATACTCTACATTCAGGAAGTACTCAGACCCCCCGTCACTTCTTTCAATGTTGTTATGTTGCAGCCGGATACTACAGTTGTTTCTCAGGAATCTACACTCAGCACAAGAAAAAACTGGAATATCACATTGGCATAAGTATTCACACCCTTGACTCAGTACTTGGTTGAAGCACCTTTGGCAGCAGTTACAGCCTCCAGTCTTTTTTGGGTATGACGCGACGAGCTTTGCACATCTGGGTTCGGGGGATTTTCTGCCATTCTTTGCTCCGTCAGGTTGGATGGGGACTGTCGGTGGACAGCTATTTCCAGGTATCTCCAGAGATGTTCAGTAGGGTTCAAGTCAGGGCTCTGGCTGGGCCACTCTAGGACATTCCCAGAGTTGTCCCTAAGCCGCTCCTGTGCAGTCCTGGCTGTGTGCTTAGGATCGTGGTTATGTTTGAAGGTGAACCTTCGGCCCAGTCTGAGGTCTTGAGCGCTGTGGAACAGGTTTTCATTGAGGATATCTCTGTACATTGCTCCATTCAGCTTTCCCTCAACCCTGACCAGTCTCCCGGTCGTTGCTTCTGAAAAACACCCCCACAGCATGATGTTGTCACCACCATGCTTCACTGTTGGGATGGTGTTGGGATGGTATTGGGCAGGTGATGAGCGGTGCCTGGTTTCTTCCAGACATAACGTTTAGAATTGAGGCCAGACAATTCAATCTTGGTTTCATCAGACCAGAGAATCTTGTTCCTCACAGTCTGAGAGTCCTTCAGGTGCTTTTTATGCAAACTCCAAGCGGGCTTTCATGTGTTTTGAACTGAGGAGAGGCTTCTGTCTGGCCACTCTGCCATAAAGTCCAGATCGGTGGAGGGCTGCAGTGATAGGTGTCCTGCAACTTTGTCCCATCTCCACACAGGATCTCTGGTGACCATCGGGGTGCTTGGTCACCGCTCTTACTAAGGCCCTTCTCCCCCGATTGCTCAGTTTGGCCCAGGCGACCAGCTCTTGGAAGAGTCCTGGTTGTGACAAACTTCTTCCATGTGAGAATTATGGAGGCCACTGATCCGGTCTCTGAGCTCTGCAGGCACTTCCTAATGCTCTGACACAGAATGCATTGTCAGCTGTGAGGCCTTCTATAGAGAGATGTGCACCTTTCCAAGTCATGTCCAACCAATGTAAATGTACCGCAGGGGGACACCAATCAAGGTGCAGAAACATCTCAGCAACCGAGGCACCTGTTGACCTCTCTGAACTGTAATGATGCAAAGATCCCAAAGACTCTTATTGTGCATCTGAAGTTGTCGCTACACTGTAGACTTTACAGAGGATTACAGTTGTCAATTGCAACCACCCCAACACTTAATGATATAGTACGGTATTATCTTCACATGTTCTATGTTAAATTTGCCTCAACAACCTAAGGGGGCCCCCTTTTACCCCCAGGCCCCATAGCAGTCACCTGGGCTGCTATGGCTATAGTTATACCACTGGTTATAATAACATAAGGAAGGTTGCTTTCACACTGAGGTCTATGGAACATGAAGAGTTGAGCAGTCTACAGATCAGCTGCTTTGCCTCTACACATGGGCCAATGTGCTGCTAAAGGCGCACAGAGACATTGGCTGACTTCAGGATAAAAAAAATAAAGGAAATGAACAGTAATTGCTGCCGAGGAGCAGAACAAACAAGGGAGTTCATCTGATCGCTGGAATACCCCGGGGGAGGGTGACCCGTGTGTGGTGACATACCCCATCTTTCTTGTCACGCTCCAGAGCCCCGTGCAGGAATTCCAGGGAGACCTCCTCGTTCTCATCCAACCACTGCATGACGAACTGCTCAAACCACCTGCAGCAAAAAAAAATGAAAAAGAGAACCTGTCAGTGAACAATAGAATATAAACTGGAATTTCCAAGTGAGAGCAGGGATCTCAAGCTGCCAGGACATATCATCAGCCATAATTCTTCTCCTGAGTTCACCAGGAGCCTCTTGGCACACATGCAGTAGGAAAATCTCAGCTTTGTCTTAATGGATATTGAAGGCCAAAGCCCCCCCCCCCCCCCCCCCCCCCCCCCCCCCCCACCCCCCCCAAACAACATTTCACACATCCCACAATGCACTGCAAAAAATGGAGCCGAGATCTGACTGCATCAGAGTCAAAATCTGCAACTGATAGTCTGCTGGTGATCACTGGAGTAGAATATTGGCAAGCTAGTACTGGTGGACTATGCAAAATGTTCTGTCAGTGGGTCACCTTAAAGATAATTTGGTTTTGTGTTAAAATAAAGAAATGACCACATACAACCTTCATTTCATTTACCTTCCCTTGTAACAGGAGAGTATACGGTATACAAACTCTGTATCGGAGTACGCCCACACAAGCCAACAGCCTGTCCCAACTATCCTCATTATACACAAAGATTGTACGAACCCAGAGCCAAGCCTGAAACTCCTACTTCAGATCATGTCGGCTGTCACATACTGGGGAGGAGGTCAGATCATGTCGGCTGTCACATATTGGGGAGGTGGTCAGATCATGTCGGCTGTCACATATTGGGGAGGAGGTCAGATCATGTCGGCTGTCACATATTGGGGAGGTGGTCAGATCATGTCGGCTGTCACATATTGGGGAGGTGGTCAGATCATGTCGGCTGTCACATATTGGGGAGGTGGTCAGATCATGTCGGCTGTCACATATTGGGGAGGTGGTCAGATCATGTCGGCTGTCACATATTGGGGAGGTGGTCAGATCATGTCGGCTGTCACATATTGGGGAGGTGGTCAGATCATGTCGGCTGTCACATATTGGGGAGGTGGTCAGATCATGTCGGCTGTCACATATTGGGGAGGTGGTCAGATCATGTCGGCTGTCACATATTGGGGAGGTGGTCAGATCATGTCGGCTGTCACATATTGGGGAGGTGGTCAGATCATGTCGGCTGTCACATATTGGGGAGGTGGTCAGATCATGTCGGCTGTCACATATTGGGGAGGTGGTCAGATCATGTCGGCTGTCACATATTGGGGAGGTGGTCAGATCATGTCGGCTGTCACATATTGGGGAGGTGGTCAGATCATGTCGGCTGTCACATATTGGGGAGGTGGTCAGATCATGTCGGCTGTCACATATTGGGGAGGTGGTCAGATCATGTCGGCTGTCACATATTGGGGAGGTGGTCAGATCATGTCGGCTGTCACATATTGGGGAGGTGGTCAGATCATGTCGGCTGTCACATATTGGGGAGGTGGTCAGATCATGTCGGCTGTCACATATTGGGGAGGTGGTCAGATCATGTCGGCTGTCACATATTGGGGAGGTGGTCAGATCATGTCGGCTGTCACATATTGGGGAGGTGGTCAGATCATGTCGGCTGTCACATATTGGGGAGGTGGTCAGATCATGTCGGCTGTCACATATTGGGGAGGTGGTCAGATCATGTCGGCTGTCACATATTGGGGAGGTGGTCAGATCATGTCGGCTGTCACATATTGGGGAGGTGGTCAGATCATGTCGGCTGTCACATATTGGGGAGGAGGTCAGATCATGTCGGCTGTCACATATTGGGGAGGTGGTCAGATCATGTCGGCTGTCACATATTGGGGAGGTGGTCAGATCATGTCGGCTGTCACATATTGGGGAGGTGGTCAGATCATGTCGGCTGTCACATATTGGGGAGGTGGTCAGATCATGTCGGCTGTCACATATTGGGGAGGTGGTCAGATCATGTCGGCTGTCACATATTGGGGAGGTGGTCAGATCATGTCGGCTGTCACATATTGGGGAGGTGGTCAGATCATGTCGGCTGTCACATATTGGGGAGGTGGTCAGATCATGTCGGCTGTGACATATTGGGGAGGTGGTCAGATCATGTCGGCTGTGACATATTGGGGAGGAGGTCAGATCATGTCGGCTGTCACATATTGGGGAGGTGGTCAGATCATGTCAGCTGTCACATATTGGGGCGGTGGTCAGATCATGTCGGCTTATTAGGGAGGAGTTCAGATCATGTCAGCTGTCACAGGTTGGGGAGGAGTGGCCACGCACAGGGTCTAGAATTTAGAGAGCTGATATTTCAGTTACAAGTGGAATATGAAGAATGAGTCACCCGAGGGCTTCTTATACCATCCGCTTACACTGAAAGCGAGATCACCCAGACAAAAGGTACAGGCTCTGACCAAATGACTAAAACATGGTGATTGTTCCGGTCCACACTGTGGTGTTCCTAATTCCGTCTGCTGCATCCCGCATGACATAAAATACATTTTGAATCAAGCAGCAATGGTGGGAATCCCTCATAATGATCACAGCAGGTGCAGAGACCTGGGAACTCAGCACAGGGATGGTGGGGGCCCCTCATAATGGGCACAGCAGGTGTACAGACCCGGGAACTCAGCACAGGGATGGTGGGAGCCCCTCATAATGGGCACAGCAGGTGTACAGACCTGGGAACTCAGCACAGGGATGGTGGGAGCTCCTCATAATGGGCACAGCGGGTATACAGACCCAGGAACTCAGCACAGGGATCGTGGGAGCCCCTCATAATGGGCACAGCAGGTGTACAGACCCGGGAACTCAGCACAGGGATGGTGGGAGCCCCTCATAGTGGGCACAACAGGTGTATAGACCCGGGAACTCAGCACAGGGATGGTGGGAGCCCCTCATAATGGGCGCAGCAGGTGTACAGACCCGGGAACTCAGCACAGGGATGGTGGGAGCTGAACTAAAAACACTCTACTCCTTCTACAAGGTCATATGGAAGATGGTTTTGTACATACGCAGGATATTCAGGCACTTTGTCCTTCATGGCCGGCAGGTCTTGGACATACTCATTGTAAAGCCACTTCACCTTGAAATGGAGGTTCATGTAGTCGGCACTCTTGCAGAGCCGGTGCTTCTCATGCTCTGTTGGCAGGAGAGAGAGAGAAGGGTACAGCAGGTGAATGGCACAGTCAATACCCGGGCACGTATCCAACCGCGGGGCCTCTGAGCATATACAATGAATGAATGTTATAAACAGACACATCATGATTTTTTTTTTAATTATTAATATTATTAAATGCCGAGCTGGACTAAGTCTGATTTCATATCATTCCCAAAACTTAGCAACAGCTACACCAGACTCAGCCATGATGGTGGACAATCCAATGTCCAGTGAGGGATAGAATTTGGGACAGAGCTGAGGGCTTCAATCCACCACAGAACCATAGCAAGGAGCAGAAGATGGAGCAGTTACCATCTCTGACATTTCTTTGACCCTTATCAATCACAGTCCAAAGGGTCTATTTATAAAGGATTCACTGTGCAATTCACTCGAAGGCTATCAAAGAGGATTCACCCTTTGTACTTGGCATTTTTATAGAGGATTTGCCCACCACATTTCATACCAAAGAAACCGCAAAATTACTCATCCACTCCCTTATCTCTCGTCTTGACTATTGCAACTCCCTCCTCATTGGCCTACCTCTACACAGGCTCCTCCCCCTTCAGTCTATCATGAATGCAGCTGCTAGACTCATCCACCTAACCAACCGCTCAGTGTCTGCATCCCCCCTCTGCCAATCCCTGCACTGGCTTCCTATAGCCCAAAGGATAAAATTCAAAATATTAACAACCGCGTACAAAGCCATCCACAACTCTGCCCCCGGATATATCTCCAACCTGGTCTCAAAGTATTACCCTAAGCGTCCCCTCCACTCTTCACAAGACCTCCTGCTTTCCAGCTCTGTCATCAACTCCTCCCATGCTCGCCTCCAGGACTTCACTAGAGTGTCTCCCATTCTATGGAACTCTCTACCCCAACCTGTCCGTCTATCTCCCACACTGACTGCCTTTAGGCGATCCCTTAAGACTCATCTCTTCAGGGAAGCCTATACCACCTCAACCTAACCACTGAACAATCACTTTCTCAAACAATCATCCCCGC